CAAGCTAAAACATGAATGTGTCATGGCGGTGCAATGTTATCTCTTGCTGTCGCGAGCGAATGCGCTTGAATTAAGTTTGTACATTCTATGCTTGCGGCGCATCGAAACCAGTCGGTATCGAGCTAGGCTAATTATGTTGCGTTCGAATTTTCGCCGGTCCGCTTGGATGGCTGCGCCTTAGTTGGAATGGGATGGAATCGGTTTAAATGGCACGCGCTAGCCCAATAAAAATATTTACGCACAGCCAAGAAACTTTTAAGCCATTTCATCGCATCCTCCTCTCGAAAGGTATGATACATGCGCGGATTTACTCCTCAGTAAGATGGCCAAGTAGGAATGCAATCAACAGCCGAAAGATTCTCCGAACACATCGTATGCATGCCAAGTTGCTCTTCATTTTGGCATCGCGCAATTGGTGGTGAAATCCCTTGGAATAGCACGCGAACTGACATTTGCCATAACACCTGCCCCTAAAGACTTCCGTAACTTCAAACATTTTTTTCAGCTGTGAGTCATGCATTTTCGGCCGAAGCTGCCACCAAAGCTTTTGATGCCTGCGCTGCCGAATCAAACAAATGAAAAGCTATTGAGATTATATGTGTTCATTGCTTCGCGATTATCATGCCAGTCCTCACCATCGCAATCTTGCTGAGCAGTACGTGGTAGCGAAGGTATGTCATACCACTTTCGTAAATCACATTTGCTGCACGCTCAGTCCTTGGATTTCCAAAACATCATATGCGGCTGCATGGTTAAACTCAACACGCTAGCAAGGTCTTTGGGGAAGCAGCTGAGTATCAAATATCGCCCTTTGTTTTCCACATGATGAAACCATCGACAAAGTGCATTCCTGAGATGAAGCCATTAATTAGAAGAAGAAAAAGTGTTTGAACACATGTCGATCTCGCTAGAAAAATCGAACAAGAGCTTTTATTCAGCTGGGATGCATTGCCATCGCAGTGGGGGCCAGGAAATCGTCCTCCCCCGGCCAGTTATCTGTTTCCTGAAACCTCTTTGCGAAGTCCCTGTTCTCATCCGCGGCGTGGCGCACAGCACGGTGCATGCAGTCATTCAGCCAGAATGCAATCACTCTGCCGTTGTAGCCCTTGTGAGCCATTTTCGCCCCAGTTTCATCCTTCCACACCTTCTATTATATTACTTAGGAATGAATGAATGTTTCATCAAAAACTTGCATTGAACAATGTAGTTTGTCTACCCCTGGCAGACAAGACGCAAAATTTGGAACGAACTTTGTCTGAGAGCAGCGGATGCCGGAGAATTTCTGGAAAGTTCTGAAATCCCTGTAGGCCACAACTAAGAGCTTCTGGAACGACATGGTTTCCGGGCAGCCAAAGTAGCCTTTCTCGATCAGATAAATCCTTAGCTGAGCTGCGTTGCCCGCAGTCACAAGCACCAGCCATCAAACAAAACGCAACGCAGAACTATATCGCAGAAAAGCAACAATGTCGAACCAGTAGCATCTTGGGCAAAGCCAAGATTAACGTTATGGAGCGAGCAATGGCATAGCATTGAGACGTCGAAAAAATGCAACGCGATTAAGGGGCCTCAGCACTTCAAGGCAGACTGAGAATGAAGAATGAGATTAGGCTCTTTAATTTATAAAATTAAATGCGATTAACAACCTTGCAAATGAAAACCAGGCTGCAGACATGCCGATTTCCCACAACTTGCGTGAAAAACTCATTATTGGAAATCTGAGATCCAACCCAGGAAGGGTTTTCAGCGAAATCCAAAAAGCAATGTTGTGCATCCACATGGTTCTCAGCAAGACATCTCCAGCAAATGTGCCGCGTTTTCCAAAATCGCTTCATAGAAAATGTTTGATACATATACTCCCAATCTCCCTTTATCTCTGCGACACAGAACTTGTGCGGCAATAAGCGACCTTCTGGGGACACGCCATTAAAGGCATGGTTCAGAGATTGCACAATCGCAAGGTACAAAGGATTGTGAGATCTGGCACCCAGGCTTACATCAGCATTCAAGCTCCATAGGAGCCACTGGCTCATTCGTGTACTTTTCGGCCTCCACAAAACTAAGCTCATCCAACAACCTGTCACCTTGCTCTGGTCGTAGCCCTGTCCATATCTGGCCGAATCCCCGTAAATGCTCAGAGGAATGTGGGAGCCATCAAAGTCGTCTGGGGCAGCCCATGCGAAATGTTGTTTGCAATGGGACCAATACTTCTGCAAAATTTCTCCGCGTATCTCGACACCAACAACTTTGAAAATGTACTCCAGAATCAAGTGTGGCAGGAGCACAGGCACCGCAGTTTCAACCTCTTCCGTGGAATCCTCCTTTTTCTTCACAATTGTCTTGACCATGACTGGTTTCTGCCAGGGTTCATAGAAGGTAGCAAAGAAAAGAATGTTAAGAGGCTAGGTGCACAGGTCCGGATTTACGTTGATTTAGTTAAGCTCAATTCAAACTTGCTACGATAATTCAAGAAGAAATCTGGAATTAGAAGAACCAGCTACATCCCATTGGGATTAGAAGTAAGCCCCCACCACAGGAAGTTTCACTGCTCGCGCAAAGTCCCTCGTGCTGTTGTGGCCGCTGTAGGAGCCAAGTTTGCAAAGCGCTTTCGGTAAATGTTTTTTCCCATCCTGGGCTTGACTTGCCTACCTAATCTTGACTGCAACACCGTCCTACTTAAAAGCAGACCAAGATTCTTTGACAGCACATTTCGCTGCTCGCATTTCTTTTCCGATCGAAGACACCTGTCAATGTAATCACCGGCATGACCATGAAAACTGACAAAAATATGTGCGCAGGAATCAGGCAAGAAGCAATTTAATTATCATCAAGGCACAGCTCCAGCCACATTATCAATCATTTCATCAACCAAAGCCGAATCATCCACGTCCATCTGATCATCACCTGCGCTCAGAAAATGCATCATGAATAAAGTACGTTAGGTTCCAGCAATGCGCGTGCGCACTGATCAACTTTTTCACCTCTTCCTGCCAGCTCACACCCTGCATCTATCACGCGCACCGCGATGCCCGTCACATGTCGCATGCTTGCAGGATATGCTACCCAGCACGAGGCATGTCTCTGCCGTAGCAAATGAAATGTTTCAAGATTCGTGTGGAATATTTTCGACCTTACGCCGAAGTTTCCACAACCCCTAGCATCCAGACTGCACAAGGAGCTTTGACTGGAAATTCACAAATTAGATCATTGTAAGGGCTACATGATTTGAACGCGTGCTCCCTCTAACAGCTTGGATGGTCTGCGTACCCGCATGATCTACTTGTCTTCCTTTGCACACTTTGGCTTCTTTAGCTGAAGCGTATGCTCGGCATGCTCGGCCGCATCCTTGGCCTTCAAAGTAGCCGTTGAGATCTCATCGTCCTGAATGCAGCATGAAAAGACCAAATCCCCCATACCTTGTGCATGCAATATACCGCGCTTAGTCAAATCCTGGTCTGCGTCGAGAGCGTTCTGCAAGTTGGCCCTTGAAATCGTGAGCTTCTTCGCCGATTTTTCCAAATCATCCCGAAGGGCTTCGCGCAGACTGGAGCTCCTAGGATAGAGGTTTTCCATATTAATTCAAAAATCTAACCCGAACAAAAGCATGCAATTTCAATGGATAACGCTGAGGCATTCGCAGCTTATTCAAATCTTCGCTGTCCTTCCTGTTGTTCAAAGCTTTGATCTTGTTGCTGAGCCCATTGAGAACCTGCGAATGTAGAAAAATGGTTGAGATGAAACCACGTTTAATATTCACTCAAAACATTTCTACAAACTAATTTTGGTGTAAGACTTCAAAGGAACAAAATCACTGAAGCGCTGTCAAATCAAGGCTAGGGAAGTACCTTCTTAGCTTCAGCCCTCAGCTTCTTGGCAACCTTTTTTTCTTCATCCTCATCGTCATCTTTCTTGCCTTTCTTACCCTTTTTACCATTGTTCTTGCTTCTGCGCTTTGACTTGTTGTCACGATTCCCTTTCTTGCTTTTCTTGTCTTTCTTGTTGTTTTTTGACTTCTTTCCATCCTTTCCTCCCTTCTTTTTTTTCTTCTTCTTGTCTGGGGACGAATCCTGTGTGCATTAAGAATCTAAACTATTCGTAATTAAATGTTGGCAAGTGCCAGCCCTAGACCATGCCTCGCTGGAGGAACCTGACGCTGAATCAGAATCTTCGGATGCGCTTCTCGAAGACTCGGTGGCTTCGGCACGAAAGAGATCGGAAATCTCGATGGCCTCCTCTGCTGTCTCCTCGTCTTCCACAAGAGTCAAGTATTGTCTGAGTCCTGCCATATCAGAAGCTCATGCACATGGATTATTCCGTTGGGTACATAGTATACAATCAAGAATGCATTAAAAATCGGGCCTGGGCATTCTGGATGCTCCCTGCATTCTGACTCCAGCAGCTGGGGATCGGATTCCTTTCGCAAAATTATGGCATCAACGACCTTCTCGTCATTCTCAAAGTAAGGCAGCATAGCCTTACGCGTCAGCCATCGCCTGCATCCCTTCTTGCCGTTTCGATTCATTGAACGAATCTCTTTCATTATTATGCCATTCTTCCAGCATCCACCTGTGGACATGTAGTCCTCGTAAAGTGTTGACATTGACGTTTTGCCTTGAAATGCAGCATCGTTTTTCAGGCACACGGAAAACTAAGAGAATACAACCACTCAGAGCAGAACAGTATTTGAATCGCTCAAAGCACTTCTTGATCTCCTTTGGGGTCTCGCGACCTTTGATGTTACCACACATGCACACATCATTAATGAATTTCGGGAATTTTGGAAGAATACTTATGCAGTTCGAGGGACTGTGAATGTTTCGCCAGAATCGCATGTACAGCTTGTGAGCTTTTCTTTTCTGCGCAGTGCTTTTGTTCTTCTCATCCCCAGGCTCTTCGGATCCGCGCTCCTTCGACTTTCTTGGACTATTCTTTGACTTGGCTGGACTCTTTGGCTTTCCCGGACTTCCACCTGGCTGCTTTGACGTTGAACTTTTTCTGGGCGAGAGCACAACCTCGTCTGTTGAGCTTCTGGCCGTGCCGTGGTCCTTCATATTGTCATCCTCGCTGTCCTGCTGTTTTGTGTTTGTCTTCTGTGGTCTGGACTTGGCTTTTGCCTTCGCTTTTGCTTTCGCCTTTGCCTTCGCCTTTGCTTTTGGGGAAGGGGTCTTTGCTTTACTCTTGCTTTTGGCTTCGGCTGCTGGCTTGCCTTTTTTCTTCACGACCGCATCATTCTTGGCCTCATTCGCAGCCGCCTCTGCAAGTTGCAACGCCCTTTGGTCCTCTAGCTCCTTCTGCAGTTCCTGCTGTCTACGGCGAGCGTCGTCTTTCCTATCACATGTTTCCTTCAGGTCCACTGTCTGCGCTCGCTTAAGCACCGAAGGGGGGGAGGTCAGGGTTTCAGTGCTGCCTGACAAGCTCGAAGTCTTGCGCTTCAAGCGGTTGGGCGGAGGGGTCTCAACTACTTGGGTGGCCTCGTCGTCAAACGTCAGCTTGCGGTTGAGGGGTTTGCCTTTTGAGTTCTGCCACGCTGTTTTTCCTGTTCCTGTGGGGGTCGCATTGGGGGCATCTTTGGTGCTTGTCGTGCTTGCTCTGGTGGAGCTAGTTGTGCCTGCAGAGGGGGGTGAGGTGTTCCACATCTGCTTTGCTTCTCCGGGAGACCTTGCTTTCCGGAACTTCAAGAAAAGCAATTACAAAAACACATGCACCTAGCACACCGCTTGAACATGAAGGATTGCACCAGTAAGCTCCTTGCACAGTACTCTGCTTGTCGATGTTGTCAGGTTCTTCCGCTCTGCGCTTTCTAGCTTTGGCTTTGGCCAACAAAGCGTTGATGTCCACCATGCTGCTAGACAACAAAGCAACAACCCTGCACCTGTGGTGCCCAAAGTAGATCTGGAGCCGAATGACAACAATCAAGTTCAAAGCGTTATAAATCGTTTGAAACGTTAAGAACGTGCATGCGAAATGTGACTGATTTTCGGGTGGAATAGTTTCACAGTTTTTTGGGTACATTTCACGGTTTTTGGGGTACTTTTCACGGGGGTTTCACGGGCTTTTCACGGGGTTTTCACGGGCTGGTCCTGCACACATAATTCCCGCGAAATATTTTCGTTATAAAAGAATTCTAACAGTGTTTTCCGATTGCCGCGAATCTTCCATTCTCGAACTTGCTTTGAAGAACAAAACCAAGCAAGCGTATGTTATGCTTTAGCTTTGTTATTAGTTTGTCTCTTCTCCAAAGCTGGTATCTAAAGCTTGAAAGCAGGCTGATACCTTCCAGCTCTCTGCTCCGAAAGCAAGAACTCACGAATCTCACTGAGCCCTGCAAGGTGCCAAGACGTAGGCGCACCTCTCACATCAGCAGCCTTCCAGACAAAGCAATGCGCACACCCCACATAAACATGTCCACTGCGAAAGCTCAGACCGGAACCTTGGACAGATTCTGCACACCAGCAGTCAGATCCCCTTGTTTCAGCACCTCAAGAAATTATGCAATAAGCGACATAATGGGAACAACTACAGCAGAAAATACTCAGGCTTCTACCATTTCTTTTGCATGATAGGCGCTTATCTTCTTCCCGAACTCCGGAGGATATGTTTGCGTCTGCTTCAAGCGTGGCCCACCCTGCCTGAATCAACGCTTGATCTGTTCCACATGCTAACATCGCTTGCAGAACACTTCTGGCGCTAAGTCCGGAACACGGTTTTCTTTCCTGTTTTCGGGTCGGTCTTTTTGCGAACAACCCCATCGGAACACAGCTTGAGCTTCTTCCGCAATTTCTTGGTCAACTTTTTGTACAAACCTTCCAACCAAGACCTTGAGAGCATCGCGCAAAAGTCACTGCACAGAATTTAGTTTTGGCATCTGAAAGCACATTTTAAGGTCAGCGCGGGGTGCCGATGAGGAGGGTGGGCTTTGCCATGAAGTTTCCAAACTTTGCCATCCAACTTAGCAAAGACAAAAGACATTTACTCTGTTCGTGGGTGGTTTCCTCGTGCAGTGCACATGAAACACAGCAGCAAAACTCAGTCCGAAGCAACCGCACCAACTTGACATCGACATAGTTCTTGATCGCATTCATCAAGAAAATTATATGCGGGACATGCGGCAGCAGCGACGTGCTGGGCTGTTCAATGAAAAAATGAACCCCGCGGCACATTGCCAGCATGCATAAAATCAGGGTGCGAAGAGTAAGCCTCAATTTTCAAAAACTGCAAGTGTGCCACGCGTACAACTGCAAATGAAGTCACTGACACGAAAACGAAATCAGTCGCAAACAGCCAAGAAACATGTTCGCCTGCCTGATGTACTTGTGCCGCAGACTTCCCCAAATATTGTAGCGTGATCTCCCCGAGGTCTTTCTGTTCAGAAACACCCAGCTGCCGCAAGGCAACCCTGCGGCCAGCAAGGCCCCCTCCTTCAGGCGGAGGACCTTCATTGTTGCCCGTATAAATCCTCGCCTTACATTAGCAAGCTCCAGAAGCTATCCAGCTTGATGTGCAAACAGAGCGGATCTAAGACCAGTACGTTGTAAGCAAATCATCTTCTGGTCGGGCCGTGAGCTCAAAGAAGTCACTGCGAAACAATCACAAACTTTTCAAGGTCTTTCAACACACCCCGCAACCAAGTAGATGAGGCCGCCGCGACTTCATGCCACGGGCATCTTAGGGTAGTTGAAGTGAGACTACACATAAGAAATCCAAAATGCTGTTTGAAACTTGGACTGTCTGAGTCACTGGCTGAATCCCATTTCAATAGATCGCTTACCAGCAAAGAGGTCCAAGCAGAATAAATCCTTCGCATCGTTGGGATATTACACTTCTCCAAAATAATTTCTCTGCACACACCAGGACCCAGGCCCTTTGATCATTGGGGGACTCTGCGTTCTGGCCAATGTAGTCAACGAGGTGCAGCCTCAGATCAGGGAAGTAAAGTTGAAAGAACCGTAGCACAAACCAAACAATACCATCCGGGGAAGTTGAGCTGCGGAAACTTGTTTGTAAAATAACCCCGATAGCAGTGTTTCTTCTGGGGCTTGAATATTTGGGATTGGCAACCAATTTAGGGAAATAATTTACATGGGGTTTTGGTCCGGTCTTTATTTTGTAGCCAAGAAACATTTCTTGTGGCCAACCACATCTCAACAAAGCTCCCACAGTGATTGTGCTGAGAGCAATCTCTTTCAGCATCCACGGCATCATCTTGAAGTCTTCAGCTAAGAGTGTCCGAAACAAAACCTAGCAAGCTCCGCCCTGAAGAGATCTTAAATCCTTCAATTTCGTTCGCTATGCTAGCCCATGACCTGCTGAAAGAATTTCAGGAACGCCCGCATGTGTTTGCGCACAAACAAGCTTGAGACCCACGGCGTGTACATGACAACAACTTCAAAAAACAACGACTTGGCAACAGCATGTCAATCAGGAGCAAACGTAAGCAACAGAGATCATTTTTGAAAGCTTCCGCAAGGTAGTGGCAAAATCTCGGCAGCATGCGACTCGTACTCATCAGTCCCAGCCTGCAGCCTGAACTGCGAAGCCCCACCTTAGCACAGATTTTCTGATTGCATGCAAAAACAAATCGATACATACTTGAGATTCTTGCGCGGCTTTGATGGAATGAAATCTCCGCCACCCAACCGTCAAACCAGCATTCTGGTTCACCTCAATTGCTGGCAAAATCACAAAGCAAGACAGAACATGAAGCTGGAGCAACAAATAAGAAATTTTGCAACCCAAGAGCAACCATATCATTCTTGTCGAAGTTGTAGGCTTTGCTCAGAGACTCGATCTCTGCTTGCGGCTTCGATGGCAGCACATAAAACTGACGGTGCCTCAACCTGAGCAACTTTTGTTTTGGCATCTGCTTTTTAAGTTCATTCGATTCAGAGCACATGGCCACACACCAATCGTGGTCTGGGAATTCTCATCTCTCACTGTGAAGCTCCTGNNGAGGGGCTCTGCAACAGACATCACCCTGCTCTAACGTGTTATCGATCCAAGGACCCGACTGTTTTCTGCCCTCCTCAACAGCCTCGCTCACAACCATCCGGGGATCTTTTTTCGCAAACTTCTTCAGCGCGTTGATGACTTCGGGGAGGTCCTAGAAAAAATGTACGGATTTGAAGCCTTAAGTTTATCTTCACGACACCGCGCGGGCCTTCACTAGAAGATTTGGAATAATCGAATTTATTATGAAAAATGAATTCTGAAATTATTTGTTTTTTTTATTATAATATTAATTTCTTAGTACATGAATTAAGATTAATAGTCATGAGCCTTTATTTAGGGTGTGGTATCAACAATAATTAATAATGTAGTGCGTCCTTGATGGTGAACTTGAGCGGGGGCTTCGTAACCTTGGCTTCGGGCTTTGCTTTCGGATTCTTTTGGGTCTTTGCCGGCTTTGACATTTCTTCCTCTTCCTGATTTTCCTCAGCATCATCTTTACACTCCTCGTCATTATTTTCTTCCTCGTCCTCAACTTCATTTACTTCTTTCCCTTTGCCATTTTCCTTTTCTTCATCTTCATTTGCCTGCTCCTCTTCTTCTTTTTCTTCTTCTGGTTCTTCTTTCTTGTCCTGTGCTTCTTCCGCCATTCTT